TATTCAAATAAATAGGTAAATAACAAAAATAATAATTCACAAAACGTTATGAGAAATCTGGGAACTTTCATACTCCATCACAAATCATAATCCTTGGGGCTGGATATAGAGCTCAGAAGCACAGTGCCTGTCTGGCAAGCATGAGGCTGTGAGCTCAATTCCTGGTACAAAAAAAAAGGGAAGGGAAGGGAAGAAAAGGGAGGGGAGGGGAGGGGAGGGGAGGGAAGGGGAGGGGAGGGGAGGGGAGGGGAGGGAAGGGAAGGGAAGGGAAGGGGAGGGAAGGGAAGGGAAGGGAAGGGAACAAATATGTAACTCACACATGTGACTTTCATTCTCTATGGAAGTATCACTTTTATGAATATCTGTCAGATCACTTGAAAATCTTACTTTTCAAAGTACATTAGAAATGAGTCATGCCATTATTACATTGTATTATGAAGATTAGTCAGAGTATAGTGAAATCCTAAATGGACCAAAAAACATTATTCCAACTATTGACAAAAGTAAAGTTTTCCTTTTTCACTTGTATCGCTAAGCTTTTTTACATCATTCAGGGAGAAAAACCTAAAGGTAGCCATTTTATTTTTCCTAACTTTATCTAAAATTATATATATATAAATCTCAAGTAAAAATATTTCTTAAAAACAAATTATATGGGGGCCGGGGATTAGCTCAGCAGCACAAGCGCCTGCCTGGCAAGCTCAAGGTCATGAGTTCTGTCCTCAGTACCAAAAAAAAAAAAATTATATTCACTTTTATATAATAATTCCGAAAGCATATACATGCAAAGGAATTAAAAAGTCACTCCCTACTGAAAATATTAAGTCAAATGTAATGGTAGAGAAACTAAGAACCAAAAGTTGTCCTATGAGATCTTATTCGATAAATGAAGCAATGATTTAGTAATATGCTACTGTGGTTTTATCGCTGATCTAGCTAATATGAGGATATGACTGAGCCTTTACATGCACAAAGGAAATGATGCTTAATGTTTATGTTGCTCTTTTAGGCTGTGTTACATATTTATGTTGGTAAGTCTTATTTTCCCATTTAGCTAATAAAAGTATGTTTATTTTAGAAATTTCATTTTATATGTAGTATAATTTTAAAAGCCTTTTCTCTATCAGAAATTTGAAATTTAAAAATAAAAATAAAATATTAAACAAATGTATTCCATTTCCCTTCTTTAAAAAGCTAGCACAGAGTAAGTACCAGATTGCCTGGTTTTGTACATTTTGTTATATGAGTCCATGCAATATATTTAATTTCTATACCCAAGATTCACCATTTTAAAAGCATAATTATAGTTCACTTTTTGACAGAATTTCCATGATGGGTTGTATGAGCTTATATATAGGAAGAGTTTAAGAAAATATTGGTATTTAATAAGGTATTTACCAAGTGTTTGTTGCCCTCTATTACTGTCATTATTATTTTAGTTACATATTCAGATCCCTTTGCTCGCTAAGTATTGCCTACCTGTCTTTACCCATAAAAACATTTTCTCATTTTTAAAGCCTATGCTGGACTCTTAGAAACTTCCCTTTTAATTATTTTCATATCACTCCACACAATTCTGTCATGACTAATCAAATTCTATTTGAATATCTACTATTTCTTTACTTTCTCCTTCTTCTCCCCTACAAGCCCATTAGCTCAAAAGTAAATAACTCTTTTTCAATTGGTTCAATTTGTCCTGTCTGTTTGATGCACATATCTGTCAAGAATCAAAGATGAATCAGCAAAGGCAAATGTGGTTGGAGCCAAGATTCCAAGAGTTCTATTCCTAAGCCAATCACTCATGATAAACTTTATAATTCTGGCATGGAATTCTGGCACAAGGAAAGGGTTGCCTACCAGGGTAGCTCCTTAAATATTCATTGGTTAAGGTTTATACTGGCCATTGATCATATAGGTTCTCTGCCTAACCTGTAGCAAAATTCCAGACTCCAAAGAATATGATCAGTTTGTTTGCACAAAATCCTGTTTGAACCTTTCTCTTTTGTTTATATAAAGTTTTATATCACTGTAAGGAATTTTTAGCTACTGTGCTAGAAAATGTACTGTAGCTGACTGGTTTCACAGAAACCAGGTCAAGGCCAAACTTGCAACAAAAACTTTCTTTTGTGCATAAGAATCTAACACTTAAAATGTACTCAAAACAATTCACATAACTGGGTTAAATGAACTAAGGAAACAATGTTAACAGTAAGAAAACACTCAGTTCTCAAAATCTCATGTAACCTACAATTCAAGTACAAGGCCAGGTACTCAGTTACACTTACATCTAATAAACATTTCCCGGGTTACTTACATCAGAATAAATACTGTGGTAGGCACTAAAAATCTAAATATATCAAAGAACACAGAAACAGGAGATAGAATTGTGGTTAGCAGAGTAGGAAAATGGAGAGACATTAGTTAAAGGGTACAAGATTGTAGTGTAAGTGAATAAATCTGACAAGCTAGTCTACAGCATATGATTATTGTTAGTAACATTTTATTGCATTTTGGAAATTTCCTAAGCGTAGAGCTCAGGTACTTTTCCACCACACACTGCTGTGCCCACACACCCAATAGCAGTAACTATGGGAGAAAACTGACTATGTTAGTTAGCTTGACTATGATAATTACTTTACCTATGAATATTATATCACACAGCATGTCGCAAATCTTCAGTGTAAACATTACAAAGGAAAGTAAAATTAACCAAATCTAACATAAACATGCTTTTGATATTTTTGCTTGGTTTTTGGAAATTTAAGGACTCTCCACAAAATAAGCAAAAAAAAAATCCTGAAATCAGGCCAAAAATCCATGTTTTAGAAGCAATTATAAAGGTCAGGTCTGTGCTGGTGGCCGAGCACAAGATCAACCCCAAACCTTAAGCTGTGTCCTGAGCCCATATTGGGGAGGAGAGGAAGAGGCAAAGGGAGGGGATGCACACTTTCCCCAAAGGCTGTTTTTAAAACAAAAAAGATTCACCGAACTACAGGTTTCCAGTCCATCTCAAGACTACTTAAAAAACTTAAAGCACTGGATGCCAATCTTGAAGTCCAGGTAACTGAGATGGAATTATTCCAAGTTCTTAAAGAAAAATTTACTACAATGACAGACTATAGGAAAGAAAGGCTCAACACTGAGAACTGGAAAAACAGTAACTATTTTTGAAGAAAATAGTAAGCTCAAATGCTTGGAAATAATAAGACACACCATTCTTCTCATCCTGTTTCAATGAGCTTACTAGAAAACAAAAATTTTGAGCAATCACATGTGACTTCATAACTTCTACCTTTCCCCTTTTATTAGGCTTTGTTTAGAAGTGGGCAGGCTCTTTGAAGTTTGTCCTCTTTGAAAAACATTATTATTGGGATAAAGAATAGAAGAATGTGAAAATTATTTTTGATTAGCTTAAGATCATCTAAAACATAAAACAACTAATTTTGAGTAGCACATTTTTAAAAGTGTGACATAAGTCCTTATAATATTCTCAATAACTATGAATGATAAAATTTTAATTTGTATAACTATGAAGAGAAAGTGTTGTAAGAAGAAAGTCATTTATTCACAAACTTGTAAAACTGTTCTTCAACATGATCTGTAAATTTGTCCTTATTCTGACCCATCATTAAAAGCATAGAATTAAATAGATGCAGTGAGTCTTTCATCACAAAAAAGAGAAAGAAATGCCTTCAATGGCATAGAATGAGCCCCATTAAACAATGCAAGGTGGGGAGCAGGATCAACCGTGAGAACGAAGAGTGGCATCTCACTGCTTATCCAGTCTACTCACAGGTGGAGGAAGCTAACTGGCAGGAAAGGTGAATGAAACCAAGATCCTAGATTTATTTTTCTGAAGGTCTACTACAGATTTAATATCAACAACTTCATACAACCCTGTCTACTAACTTAAACATGGATTAATATAACATAATCTTAAGATTTAACATGTCCAGTTGATATCTCAGGATTTACTCATGCTTTAATAAAGATGATTTTAATTACTGAATGGACCTCAGTGTATTATTTCATGTATGTGTATGTGAGTGTTTGTGTGTGCACATGCATGTGTCATGTAGGAGAGTGACAGAGGTGGCAGGATCAGAGACCAATAAGAAAATTAAACATCCTAGTCTTGAACAGAAAACTCAACATTCTAGTCTCGAACAGAAAAATTCTCCCCCAGGGATTTTATTGTCAGTGTCCTGAGTGGAGAATCACAGGTGGATATGACCATTTTGTTTTTGGGGTATTTTTTTTTTGGTCGTGTTGCTCAAATACTCTTGTAAAATGTTTCATTATTTGTAATTTCCATCCTCAGTCCATACTTCAAGACCAAATCAATGAACCTACAAAGCAGCATTTAGTCTTTGATGTTAATGTCAAATTGTCTAGTATTCATTTCATGATGTAGTTGTTGATGAAATTCTTAATACCTATATTTTGAAAGACAAACTTGAAAGGTAAGAATATAAATTTAATGAATTCTTTTATGTGACAACTTAGTTCTTGACATTTTACATGCTTTATTTGCTTAATGACAGAAGACTGGTGACTTAGTCATGAAAATAATTTGTTAACAGTAAAACCACAGTCCAGAATTAAGTCTGAAAGCTTCAGGTATTGTGTAATATAAAAAGTTGTACATTTCTGTTCACTTTTAAAATTAATAATAATAAAAAATATTGTATCATAATAATAAAAATATATTGTAGTTCTTCAGTAAAATGCATGTAGCAGCTTTGTTTTAGCAATGTCAAGACTGTATGAAAGATTCATATTGATTGATGTAGAACTGTGATGAATATGGGAACTTGAGAGACAATTATTTTAAAATGTGTGACATTATTAATATGGAGGTTTACACATAAAAATCCACAATTCTAGAAAATGATACATTTGGATAAAAACCATTTATCATCTAAAAGCTATGTCATTGATGAAGAAGAAAAAGCTATCAACTTAGTTAAATCAGAGAGGTTTTTAGAGAGAACCTCTACCTGCTGGGAAACTTTTCCTCCAAGTTCTGCAGTGTGGGCATTGTCAGGTCTTCCAGGACGTCTGCGGAGAAGATTAAGAAACTGCGTTCTGTCTCTCTGCCCTTGTAGCATGCACTGTGAACACAATAACACTATGATCTGCATCTGTAGAATTATGAGAAAAGAGTAAACAAGGCAAGAAGGAAACAGAGAGGTATAGGGGATACTAGGATGTGAATAATTCTCCTGAATAATTTGTTGTGAAATCAAAAAAGATAGTTTAAACTAGCAAAGCATTGAGAACTCTGTATGTAACTTTTCTCAGTGCTAATACCCAATACGAAAAGGTAAAAGAGGAAATACTTCTTTAAACTTACAGTGGGTAGGAGTTTCAGTCCATAGTCGGCTGGCTCCAAGACAGGGTGGCGTGGCGAAGGAGAAGCATTCCCCTGCATGGAAAGGCTGGCTGGACACAGTGTAGCAGTGGTTAGCCACAGCAGCACCTGCCTTTCCCTCTCATCCCTTCCGGGCTGCCTGCCTTTTGGGTAGTGCCACACACACCCCAGACGGGCCTTCCATTATCCACACCCAGGACTATGGTAAACGAATCAGCATCCTTAATCCCAACCTACACACCCTAGATCCAGCCAACTCCCCAAACACCCAGCTATAAGTGGCTGAGACTTTGGGGAGACCTCTAGACACAAGCCACAACAAGATGCAACTGCCAGCATACATTTGGGAAGTAGATAAAACTTCCTAATTATCAGGGATTAAAATTGAGGTCCCCTTTGTGAGATGGGCCCCACCAGGAAGTACAACCTGCTGATGCTTTTACAGGAGGGGATAAGTTCTTTGGGAATGGTGGGTGTGCTTACTGAAGGGTTTTTTCTTATATGGCAAAGAGCTAACATATATCCACTGACTTGAATGACCAGTGCTACATCCATAACTGTTTAGTGTTGCAAATGAGCTGAATCACTTTTATCAATCTTTTTACTAATAAAATTTACCAAAAGTCTACACAGTGACTGAATTTAGTTAGTTGCTTGAATTTGAATAATGGCTTCCCAAATATAAATATTAATACTAGTCATATTAATTTCAAATTGATTACAGTGATCAAAAATGCATTTCTGTCACTAAATAATAAGAAATTTATTTATAATTGAGAATAAATTATCAATAATTAATTCTTTAGATTTTAACATGGAAGTTTTACAGATACTCCATTGCTGGTGTACATGATAGGCATTTACAATGGCTGTATACAAATTAGTTTATTGCAAATTATTTTGCCATTTTTATTTTCCTTAAAGAGCTGTAATATGATGTCAGCTGCTCTGCTAAATCAATGCCTTTCTCTGAGTTATTGTGATCAAAGACACCCCTCGCCCCAGAAGTGGTACAAGTCACCCAATAAGACAATCACGCATGTTCCATAGTGGTTCAAGCCAACCAGAATGACTGGATTCAAATTGGAGCTGTCCCACAGCAAGACATCAGAATTATCGCCTGTGGTGAACATCTTGATTGGCAAAAAGTATTCCTGAAACTCTCTCCACATGACTTCAAGTGCTTGTAATACTTCTCAAAATAAAACATTCTGTTAGTTTAAATTCTAATGTCCTGTGTTTGATGTTTTAGTTTCTCAAGAAAGTATGCTATGTTGTTCAATGAATAAACATAAGAGAAAAGTTCAATTACTAAATTTCTTTTCTATGCAAAAGTATTGAGACTAACGTAATTCCTGCACTGTGTTACTGCAAACACAGACTAAGATTTGGCATTTGTTTTCTTTTGTATTATTTAATAAATATCAAAGCACATATATTTTGCTGGCTACATACCATGTTCCAATGCACTATGAATACCTTTTTATGTACATTAACTCATAAACTTCTTTTCTATTCTAGAAAGTATGCCATATTTGTTTTTATGAATTAAAAAAACTAAGCCCCACAGTTTAAGGAATCTATTTAACATAACCCAACCAACAAATAACAAAAAGATTTGGGTCCACTTGGCTCAATGCCCTTAGCTTTTGGATAAAGCTTCTTTTGCTGAGTTATCTTTCCCCTGGCTGGCATTTGCTTAAAATTTCCAGTTTTCAATTATAAAGCAGAAGTAGAGTAGAGAGAGCCCAAAGATTGAATTGAAGATGATGGGGAAGAGTAATATAATTTCAGAAGAGAGTTCAAAATTGTGCTCAACTTAAAGTAGTAATTTTCCAGAAAAAGGATTATGGAGGCCAGATTTCTAAAATGCCAAATAAATTTTCAGAGCCATTCTCTTAGTCCACAGCCCACTAAGCAAGTAGCAAGTAGGAGATATTAATAGATGCTACCAATTAAAGAAAGGTTAAAATATATTTATTTTTATATATAAATAATTCATCAAAAATTGGCAATTCAGAATTTTGAGCAAGATGAATACAAACTATGAATCTCTGATTAAGATTCCCAGAATGACTGTTTTTAATCAGTCAGTTTTGGAGGCACTTTCTGTACAAGAGTACTCAGGCCAAAAATAACAATGGAGAGAATAGCACAGTTATGGACTTTGAAGCACAAGTTGGGGAAAAATAGGGCACACTTTTATATTGAATAGAATCCAAGACCTCATGCATGCCAAAAAAGCACACACTCAGCATTGAGCTACCCCTCTAAGCCCCTTTTGCTTAATTTTTTTAAAACAATATTCACTCTCTTTTTTTTTTGCTCTATATTTCTATAGGATTTGAGAAATGCATAATGTCATGTATTCACCATTAAAATAGCAGGATGAAATATCTGCTCTAGAACTCACTTGAGCTTTTCAGTTCATCCTTCCCTATCAAATTCTTGGCAAATACTGATTGTTTTATAGTTTCTATAAGTTTTGCCTTGTTTAAAATTCCATACTGCTGGCTATGTATGGCTATATACAATATGCAGCCTTTCCAGACTGGCTTCTGTCTTTTGGCAGCATGCTTTGAAGTTTCTATAAAGCTGTGCTAGGAAAATTACAGGATTATAGAGTTAAAATATTTTTTAACTTAAGAAGTACCATATGAAAAGTTTCAAAACATAAACTATGGCTCACTTGTAGTAAATAATTTACAATTACCTCCATAAAGAAAAATGTCTAGAAATATAAATAAGGTATAAATTAAAAGATTGACTTACATGATACATGCATTTGATTTATATTTATTTTTAATAAAGCAAATTAAGCCAGTTTAATAATAAATGTCCTAATTTGGACTGAAGATTAGAATGACTAGACTAAAGGTATTTGGAACTAGATTCAAAAACATTGTGAAATCCTTTAGCATAAAAAAGAAAGATTGTCAATTAAAAGTCTTTAAAATTAAGAGAATGAAAAGTTATCAACTAGGGAAAAATTAAAAACATATATCTGAAAAAGATGGGTAGCCAAAATACACAAAGAACTCTCAAAACTCCACAAGAAAACTACCTACGTAAAAGGCAGAAGATGTGAACAGAGACCTCATCGAAAGAAGATTGTTCATATGGTAAATAAACATATGGAAATTTGCCCAACATATTTTGTCATGAAGGAAATACAGACAAAACAACAAGACATTACTACACACTTATTACAACAAAATCTCAACACCGTCAAATCCTGGAGGGAATGAAGAATGATTGGACTCACCCATTGCTGGTACAAATGCAAATTTTAACAACCACTTTGGGTAAAAGTTTAACATTTCTTTCAGAACTAGAAATACCCCAACAATATGATTCAATACTCCCAAATCTTGACATTTACTCAGAGGAGCTGAAGACTTGTCAGCACAAAAACCAGCATGTAAATATTTATAGCAGCTCTACTTGGAACTGCCAAACCTTGAAAAGAAGCAAGATATCCTCCAGTAGATGTATCCAGACGATGGAATGTTATTGAGAAACAACAACAACCCAAAATAAAAAATGAACCCCAAATCCCTGAAAGCATAAAGGGAATTTTAAAGCACATTGCTAGGTCAAAAAAGCAGATTTAAAAACACAAAACTTATGATTCCAATAATGTGATATTGTGAAAAACTACAAAGAGACTGAAAATAACAAAGGTTTCAATGGATTCAGGAGAAAGGGGTGGTGAGCAGGCAGAATAGGTCACACTGTCAAGGAAGTGAGACTACGCCGTGTGATGCTGCAGTCTTCGATATCTGACACTGTGTTTGTTCAGATCCATTGAATGTAAAGTGGAGTGAACTTTATTGCATTTATTCAATAATAATGCAAACATATTTATTGCCACAAATATATCACAGAAATATAAGATGTCAATATTAGGAGATGTTTGTGGGGAGAGGGTATGCACTGGAATCTCTCTGTACGTTCTATTAAATTTTTCTGTAAAACTAAACAAGGAAAAACCTACAGACTTCCTTTTTAGAAATTTCTAGGAAAGAAAGCACCTAGAATTTATTTAGAAAATTAGTACCAGTCAAGAAGGGAAGAGGGAGAGGAAAGAGGATAGGCATGTATGGTATTTCTGATGGAATAAGAGTGTATAAAAATACTTTAAATATGACCATTTGCACTCAGAGAAAATGGTCAGAAGACACATATATCCACTGAGGAAATCAGTGTGGCAGAAACCTAGAATTAAAGGTCCCATTTGACCCAGATATTCCACTTTTGGTGATCTTCATGAAAGTATTAAAGCATATACCATAGTGATATATGCATACCCATGTTCATAGCAGCATAGTTTGTAATAGCTAAATCTTAGAAACAACCCAAATGCCCATCAACCAAAAAATGAATGAAAAAGATGTAATTTTTAAATACAGTGGAGTACTACTCAGCCATAAAGAAGGACAAACTTGTAGTATTTCTAGATAAATGGATGCACCTTGAGACCATACCCTTAAGTGAAATAAATCAGTCACACTTGTAAATATTGCATTGCTTCACTGGTGCAAGAAACCTAAAGTGTAAATAAGGTCAAAAGTATATAATAGGTATTGTGAAATAGTAAGAAATTATTCAAAAGAAAGAGGAACTAGGGAGAGGGCAGGGTCAAAGGAAGGAAAGGAAAATAAAAATGGTAAGAGAGTATAAAATGGAAATAAGCTTTGTAAATAAGGAAGTGAAGAGGAGTTGAAGAGAGGGAAGGGGTTAGGAAAACAAAAAGAGGAATCAAGGTATATCATATGCAGGTACAAATTGTCTATGATGGATTTGATCATTATATGCATATCTATGTTGGTTACTTTTTCCTCTTTGTTGGGACAAAATATTTCACACCCTAAATTAAGGAAGGACAGGTTTATTTAGCTCACAGTTTGTGGAGGTTTCAGTCTGTAATCAGCTGGCTCCAAGATAGGCTAGCATGGCACAGGGGCAACACTTCAAGGTATCAGAAGACAACAGAGCAGCATGAGCAAAAAGGGAGGAATAAGCCTCTTTTTAATCCTTATATTGTAATCAGGCTGTGCTATAGGTGTAG